AATAAATAATAATTATAGTAACACTTGCTGTGCATGAAATTTGGACATTATTTAAATATTTCGTAAATTTTTCAATTTCGAGTTTCTTCAATTCTCTAACATTTCTATTTTCAACTTTCTTTGTATTAACAAATGAAATTTCTTTTCTAAATGTAACTTTCCAATTATTTCAAGTTTTATATAATTAATTTGAAAAAATATACTACGAGAAAAAAATTTTTTTTTTAAAAAAAATAATTTTAACCTAAAATTAATTTCAAGTATTCGACCACAGTTAATGATTGCATCTTCATGTGTCAACGGTATCAAACCAAATAAACGATATGCTTTTGCTGGACCCCATTCACCGCTTGCACATTCAGGTAATGGTACCATGATTACATTTAACCTTTCACAAATAATCTATAAAATTTTAATTAAAGAAAAAAGGTATTATCACATGATTACTCATATTTCATTAGAATTAATTTCTTTTTTAATTAAATTAACTGTTAAACATTATTTCGATTATAGTAAAATCATGAATGAAATTATGAAATTATTGTTTAATTAATGTTGAGTTAATTAATACAAACTTGGGAATTTTTACGGATAATATTGCTAATAATTATTGTATTTTAACTAATTTTATCTGTTATATAGAATTAAATTGTAATTTAAATATTATTTAATTTAATTAAGTCAAATTAAAAAGATGCATTAAAAAATTTGCAAAATATCAAACGAACAATGTTGTAATTACCAATGCAAAAATGAAATTTTTAAAATTATTATTTGTTACTGCAAAGAATTGGTAAAGATAACAAATAGAAAAATCAAGAATTTTTGATAATTAGTATTACAATAATAAATATTTTAACCTTAAATTTGCAAATACTTTTGAATTTAATCGGTTGACCAGTTAAATAATGACCAGGTGATACAGCATTTGCAAAAATATCCAATAGTAGTGATCTTGTAGATGGACAATGAACGCGGAAAATAGCCGAATCACCAATAACAGATTGCATAACGAACCGTTTTAAGTTATAACCATTCGTTTCAACATCATCACCATCAAAATATCTGTAAAAAAAAAAAAAGAAAAGTTTAACATTATATGCTTATTTTTTGTTGATTGACAACTTTTTTCCGTTCTTTTCCTTTTTTTTTTAAAAAAATCCTACCATTCTATAAATTTTCCGGTTTCCTTATTACATTATAATAGGATTTTCCGGATATAAAATAATGGAAATTATTGAAAGAAGAAATTTCATTTCATCCAATAATAATCTTCTATTAATACTTAAAATAGTTTAAGTTATTCTATTTTATAGTTTTAGTTAAGTTATTCTATTTTATTTTAGAAGTTTATAAGAATTTAAAATTTAAATATATTTTTTCTCCCCTTTTCATTAATTAATTTTTCTATTTTTATATACGGTAACAAGGGGAATTCAAATCCTCTTTTCTATTTTGTTTTTTTCTTTTTTTTTGGCTTAAATAAATTTTTAACTAATATTGGATCTTTATTGCAAACAATTTAATTCCTATTTATCTATCTTTCGATTCATCTATCTCTCTATTTATCTATCTATTATCTATTTATCCATCTATCCACCTATCCATCTATTCATCTATCCATCTATCAATCTATCTATCTATCTATCCATCTATCAACCTATCATAAATGTCATTTCTTAATTAAATTTTAATTTCGAAAAAATTTTTTATAGCCTTTTTTAAAATGATTTACCTAAGATTATAGTGAAATATCAACGAATTCAATGCTCCATTTGACATGGTGACCGAAATTGTTGCTGCTCCACTTCGATCCGCCTATAATGTTTTGTCTAATTTTAATTAATAATCATTTTTTAATTGTCTTTTTTTTTCACTTCTTTTCTCCTCTCTTTATCACAATTAATTTTATCATTCCACAATAACCTAATGTGATTTTAAATTTAAAAAAATTTCCCATTTTTAAATTTGTGAATTTTTTTTTTTAATATATAAAATTTTCTTTAATTATTATAAAATTTTACCTGTACAACAGCTTGTAAATTTGGATCAGAAAAAGTTAAACCGTAACGGAAGAAAAGTGACCGTACGAATGGCAATGATTCAAATTGTCGTAGTGTTATCGGATTTTTTAATAATTGCCATTCCGATTCTAGCGGGAAAAATTCGTAAATAAATTCCTGAAAAAAAAATATATATATAATTCATGCAGTGATATATTATGATCTGATAACATTCATGTTCATATAAATTATAACTCCGTAATCAATTAATCTAAATGTAATCGGTACGTAATCGGTTAATACGTAATCATACGTAGTTGTTTAGTACGTAATCAAACGTAATCGTTTAGACGTAATCGCACGCAATCGGTTAATCTGAGGAAAAAAAAAGACTTCTATTAATGATTAAATTTAATAATATTATATGTTTAATAATGTAAATTCAGGTTTGATGATAGATTTTTCATGGATTACGATAAAAGCAAGAAGTAGAATAAAATAAATTTTCAATAACATATTTAGTATTGCTAAAATCATTTTCATCAAATTAACTTAAAAACAGTAATTAAAATCAAATTAAAATT